ATAGTCGATCATGGGGCGAATACCCAATGCGTCAACAAAAAAATTTAATTTTCAAAAATTCAAAAAATCTGCAACTTTTGCTGTATTTTGGTTAGGAGCCCGGCTAGAACCACCCTAAAACATGCGAAACGATATCCAGAGACCCACGGTTTCTAAAATTCATGGGCAAATTGCAGTAGTATGCAAAGAAAGGCGGAAATCTCTTTTTTTGTAAAAAGAAACGGTAGGAGAAAGGAATTTTCGGCTCTTGCAAAAAGTCGGACAATTAAAATTACATAAAACAAATCGATTTACTAATCGAACGGTGACGTAGCGCAATTACCGCCAAAATGCAGTTTTTTCGCGTGTAGATTTTTTTTTAAAAAGAAGGGGTAGCTCTTACCTTGTTCAACCGATTGCGTTTAATCCATTTTAATTATTGTCACTTGAAAACAGCACAAAAATTAATCCGAAAGGCACTCGCGTCGGCGTAATTAAAATCGTAACAGAAACGAGCGCGGCGCGAACAAAAGTTTACCGGCAACTGTCTAAAAACACCTGTTGATTTGATTTCAACGTGTTTCACTCCCACCACGGCCAGTCCAAAGCCAAGTAGGTGATAGTCGTTTGTTTATTGTTGAAGAAATAAACAAAGGAAGGCGAAATGCACCCGCGGGTAACGCGGTAAAGTAAATTTCGGCGCGGCGCGTCGAGGGGGGTTGATAAGAAAGTGGACGGCGAAGCGCGCAATAGCTGAGTGGTTGTTGATAAAAATGCAAAAATTAATTAATAAAAAAAGAAGATAATAGAGGAGGCGTGTTTGTCCGCCGAGATTAGATAAGAGACTTAATTGTCCTTCGAATGTGTTTTTTTATTAAGTATGCGACATTGAATAAGATTTCCTGGGTTCATGGTTGGAAAAAACACGAAAAACGAAATCCAAAAATCAAATTTTTGAATTTTGAAGATTTTTCTTTAAACCAAAATGTACCTCGCCCACTATGTGCTCTAGATCGTGAGACTAATACAAAATGAAACTTGGCCCTTTCAAAGTATTTCCCTTTCCCTACTCACTTGTCACCACCATGAGACCATTTGCATACTCATAAGGATACTGGGGGATACCCCACAGACCACCTGTTGCCACGTCGATGGCGTCTTAAAGAAAACTGTATAATGAGAGTAGTGAGGTATAGACGCGTTTTTGGGCGAGAATGTAACACAGGGGGGGTCTGGGGAGTATGGAATACCCCCCAGTCATACCCTCCAATTAAGGAAAATTCAATGGCCTAGGTAGCGCTTTCCCTACAGTAATTATTATCACCATGAGACCTATGTATATTCTTAATACTCTCTTCGTATGCTGGAGTATGAGGGGGTGGGGGGAGGGGGATTCCGTACCCCCGTTGCTACGCTTGATGGCCTATTACCGCAAAATGTAACGAGAGTAGTCAAGTAGACGATTGTTGGGGAAGAACGTAACACGGAGGAGGGGACCCCCCAGTCGTACTCGCTCACGAAGGAAATTCAATTACGCTTTCTCGCCGTATACTGGCCCCCCCCCCCCTCGACTTCACCTGCCGCTTACGTTTGATTGCCGTCTCTAGCTAAAACTGTAAATGAGAGTGGTGAAGTTAGCACGGATTTGTGAGAGAGAATGAACCACTCGGGGGTATAATCCCCCCCCCCCCAGTCATACCCCTTAAACTTTTAATAACCTCTTAGTTTACTGGGGGGGTATACCCCCCGTTGCTACACACGTTTGCTGGCCTATTACCGAAAACATAAAGGGAGTGGTGAAGTAGACGATTTTTGGGAGAGAACGTAATACAGGAAGGTCTGGGCGGGACCCCCCCCCCCCCCCCCCCCCCCCCAATTATAATCATAATCTCTCATCAAGCAAATTCAATGACGCTTTAGTCATTACTACCATTTCTTTATTTATTGTCCCTCTCTTCTTTTGGGTCCTCAACAGGTTTTCACCCAATTACAGAAGTGGCCGATATAATATAATAATAAATAGGTGCCCCTGCACAAAGGTCTTAAGTTGTTCTATACTCCTTCGGTATTTACCTTACGAATTAGGAAAACTGCAGGAAAACCTAATTCGAAGTTGCCGGCAGAATGCTCGATCTTCTAAGGAAATTCCCATCTCACAGATGAAAAATTCACCTCAGCTCAGGTTCGAACACCCGACCTCCTGACTATGTAGCCCAACGTTCTACCACTATGAGGCACACATTCGTATACTGGGGGATATTCCAAACCACCAGACACCCGGTGCTAAGTGCGATGACGTCTTACCGAAAAGTGTAATGCAAGTGCGGTGAGGTAGACGTTTTTTAGGGCGAGAGTGCAACACCGGGGGGTCTGGGGGGATATGGAATACCCCCCAATAAAAGAAAATTCAATTACGCTCTCCCTACAGTCATTATTGTCACCATGACATTTGGATACTCAAAAAAAAAACCCCGGGCTACGTTCGATGACTTTTTACCAAAAACAAAAAAACAGTATCGAGGTAGACGATTTTTGGGGAGGATTGCAACACCGGAACCTAAAGACTCTCCAAAAGTTATTGTGTATAAGTGCGCTAAAGGTACTGGACATTTTGGGGGATAATCTAGAACCGGAGAGTCTGGGGGGTGTGGATGAAAGAATGAAAAAGAAAGGGTCAATCCGAGGGCGAAATAACTTTGAATTTTTGGTGTATACTCCCCTGAATTAAATTGAATTTATTAGAATTAACGTATAGTAGAGTAGTTTGAATTAGCGTGAATTAATTTGAATTATAGGTAACGAGAATTAACTTGAATTTACGTAAATTAATTTTGAACACCGTGAATTAATTTGAATTAGCCTGAATTATTGTCGATGAACTCTTGAATATTTTGAATTTCATTTTTTAAAATAAAATAAAAGACTGCTGGTCTTTTATTTTAGTGTGAATTAATTTGAATTGACGGCAATTAACTTGAATTAACATTAATTTACGTGAATTAATCAGAGACTTGTTACAGTCTCTGGAATTAATTTGAATTAATCTGAATTTGCGTGAATTTGAATTCACGTGAATGAATTTGAATTTTGAGTTTTTGGTGTAAATCAAAAATGGTACTTGTTTTCCCTTCTTCATTTACCTACAATTGACAATAAAAGACCTTCGTATGCTCTGGGTGGTATATCCTATACCCTCCACTCTCTATAGTAATACGTCCACCCTCAAAACCTTCGGCTCTAAAGGATAAAGGTCCTCCAAAAATTAATGTATAAGTGCTAAAGGTACTGGACATTTTGGAGGCTAATCTAGAACCAGAGAGTCTGGGGGTGTGGATGAAAGAATGAAAAAGAAAGGGTCAATCCGAGGGCGAAATAACTTTGAATTTTTGGTGTACACTCCCCTGAATTAAATTGAATTTATTAGAATTAACGTAGTAGAGTAGTTTCAATTAGCGTGAATTAATTTGAATGAACGAGAATTAATGTGAGTTAACTTGAATTTATGTAAATTAATTTTAAATACCATGAATTAATTTGAATTGATGTCAATTAACTTGAATTAACATTAATTTACGTGAATTAATTTTAATTTTGAGTTTTTGGTGTATATCAAAAATGGTACTTGTTTTCCCTTCTTCATTTACCTACCAATTGATAATAAAAGACCTCTTCATATGTTCTTGGGGGGGGGGGGTTTATTCTATACCCTCCAGTAATACGTCCACCCTCAAAACCTTCGGATGTAAAGGATAAAGGTCCTCCAAAAATTATTGTGTAAGTGCTAAAGGTACTGGACATTTTGGGAGATAATGTAGAACCGGAGAGTGTGGGGGGTATGGATGAAAGAATGAAAAAGAAAGGGCCAATCCGAGGGCGAAATAACTTTGAATTATTGGTGTACACTCCTCTGAATTAAATTCAATTTATTAGAATTAACGTAGTATAGTTTGAATTAGCGTGAATTAATTTGAATTGACGTCAATTAACTTGAATTAACATTAATTTACGTGAATTATTTTAAATTAACGCGAATTAATTTGAATTAATCTGAATTTACACGAATTTGAATTCACGTGAATTAATTTGCATTTGAGTGTTTGGTGTAAATCAAAAATAGTACTTGCTTCCCCTTCTTTATTTACCTACAATTGACAAAAGACCTTCGTATGCTCTGGGGGGTTTATTCTAGACCCTCCAGTATACGTCCACCCTCAAAACCTTCGGCTCTAAAGGATAAAGGTCCTCTAAAAATTATGTGTCAGTGCTAAAGGGAATGAACATTTTGGGGGCTAATCTAGAACCAGACATTTTGGGGAAGAATGTAGAACCGGTGGATCTGGAATACTCCAAAGGAAAAAGGTAAATCTTCACATTTACCTGTAACAAACGTAGATTTTACTTAAATACGCCGACCAAAAATGCGCAGATCTACATTATTTACTTGAGAACCAATTCTTCTGAAATCCTAGTTTTCAATCTATTTAGCTTGTTCCTTTTGAATGCGGTACCTTATTATTATTATTAATGTGCGGATGCGCAATGTCAACTTTCTTATTTATAGATATTTTGTGAAATTTTAACCGCAGATGCTTCTAGTAGACACGCATATCGCATATTGTAAAAATCAGACATGCGCAAGATCAACGTTCTTCAGAAGGCCTGATTAATTCAAGAAAAGTGCGCCATACTCGCCTTAAGGCGAAAACCGTTCTTTTATTGTTGAAATGTATCCGCGCATTTCATAGGTACCACCAAAATTTAAAAATGCGCACCCGTTTTGAACCTTTGGGGTATATGCAACTAATACAAAGAACATTTTTGAGATTTTCTACGTGTGTTCTATTCAATCATGGTATTATAAACATTTAGGACAGGAGTTTTTGTACCAAACCGATGGAGTTCTTTATTTGTCGAGTCTAAATCATGCGAGTCTACGACCAAAATGAAAGAACAATTGATTCTGCGCATGCGCAAAGGTGTTCTGCGTACGCCGCCCTCTACACTAAGTATAAAGACATCTGTAATTATGTACAATTCCTATAATTACAATGTTAAACGTAAAAAAAAAGCGTAATACTTCAATACAAGTTACATAGACTAAGCCTAATATCACATTTTCAGCAAATATCATTTTTTGCTCAGTTTATTATTCGCGTGCTTCCGGGGGGCCCACCGTAGCGCCGCACTGTCGACGCACAGTCGCGGCATCTTATACTGGCTGGACCGTATGTGCTCCTCGACGAGCTTCGGCGTAACGCATATCACGTGCTGCCCCTTCCAGTACTTCACCATGTTCATGCTTTGTAATGTTGAGATTATGTCCGTTTGTGATATACTCGTCATTTGGCTAAAAATTAAATCGTTTGTTTAGCGAGTTCCTTAAGAGCGTGATCTGTAGCCCATCCAGAATCAAGCTAGCTACATTTGTTTCTGAGATACAGTGTGAAAACAAAAAGTTTGACTTTTTGGGCCGTTGGAAGGTAAAAACTGCCAGTTTGAGATATGTTTACCTAGAATCCAGTGGCGAAGCCCAAAAAACTTTTTGTAGCACAGTTTCTAAAGTTTGACCCAAAGTGGGTATTTGTTTAAATTAAACGCCCTGTATATTTTAACATCAATTTTTTCATTATTGCCATGAAAATCAATAAAAACCGTATTTTTTACCCTTTTTGAATAGTACCATGGAGATTTTGGTCAAATCTTAGAAAGTGGCCTAAAAATTTGTTGACTACGCCACTGGATTCTACCTAAAAATATCTAACATATGCAGTTTTTACCTTTTTTTTCTGTCTCACTTAAGTAGTTGATATGATAACATCCGAAAAAGTCACACTTTTCGTTCTCACCCTGTATCTCAGAAACAAATGCAGCTTGTTAAAAGTCTCAACCAAATAGGACACACAGTACAAGTGGGAATCGTAACATTCTAAGGAACTCCAATCAGAATGTGGACAACCCACCTTAAATCTTTAATAGAGAGAGTGCCGCGAAAATCGCGCAGAATCTCCAGGAGTACCCAACTCCAGTAGCTGCGGTAGCTCAACTTTCCCAAATCGCTGAGCGGCTGCTCGGGACTCCCGACCATACCCTCGAGCCGCGACAGCTCGTAGCTGAACGCGATCAGCAGCTTGCCGTAGCCCTGCCGCTGGTACGGCGGCAACGTGAGAATGCACGCGACGTTATTCAAATCGGGCGACTCCTTCTCCTTCGAGAAGTAACCGACGATGTGCGCCCCCTGCTTGTCCACCTCGCACAGTATGTAGAATAAGAACGGCTCGACGTCGAAGTACAAAGTTTTGTGATCTAAAAACAGCTTCGCGAGTAAGCACAAGTTCTGGCAGTAAATCTTGTGATCTTTCCCGTCGACCTCGTACACCGACAGCGTACCCTTGCGGTAGATCTCCTTGCCGACCGGCTGTCTCCAGGTGCACTCACTCTAAAAATGTACGATATTATTCGAATTATACGCACTCATCTTACCATGTGATATCGGTAGCTCTTCTCCAACCGCATGTACTTCAAGCAATACTCGCATATCCACAGCTTGCTCTGCCGCCCGTACTCCTCCGGGTAAGGGCTGAAGTACCAGGTGTCGATTTCGAATCGTCCAATTTGTATCTTGTCAATGTATTTGACTTTGGTGATCTGTTCGTGCTCCTTTTCGAGAGCGGCGGTCGTCGGGTCCATCTCGGCGTACGTCTTTTGGATGTGGTTGATCTCGTCGTGTCGCCGTTTCTGATTGCGAGTGATTTTGCGGTCGCTTGTGTCGTTGAGGAGGTCGGAGATGACCGGTCGATCTTTCCACACCTTGTCCGGGACGGTCTTCTGGCCCTTTGCGCCCTCGGTCAGCTGAAAGCGGGCCGACATGATTCGCCCTCGTGGCACCTAAAGGTAGCGATTTTGGGATTAGAGACACGAGGAGGTGGTTACGAACCCATTCGTCTAGCCTACGGTTGCAACCCTCGTAGTGCACGTAGTACTCGTACTGCTGCTCTGCGTCGCTGAAGCGGGTCTGTATGACTTCGGCGGGGTCTGGAAGTTTTGGGAATTGCCAAAGTTTGAGGTTAGGTTGAGGTACTTACACCAGGATTCGTCGGATCTTCGCACCAGGTAGTGCTCGCCGATGTCCAGGGGTTGCTCTTCGACGCTTTCATTGTCCTCGTCGTGCGAATTCACAGATTTCGTCTCGCTTTCGGACTTTTTACCCATAATTTCTGGACTGATAAACGATGGTTTGTCAGCGTCGTCCGCCATTATTGTTTTTGTTTTGTTTCGCAGGTTAAGGTCGGCTAAAGTACGGTTTACACGGTTTGAAGCGTTTACACCAAGGGTGTAAAATAAAGTGTTTCCGTAATGTTTCCGAACATGTTTTGAAATGTTTTGGACGTTCTTTAGACTTTGAAAATCCCTTGTTTTGGAAACATTGAACATCTTTTAAAAACCCATCATAAATGTTTTGACAAACGCTGGAAATGAGTAGGAAATCTTGAAAATGGTTCAGAACCTCTCAGAAAAAAGAAAGATTCCTCTTTATAAGACCGCCGTTTACTGGGGGTATTCCCCAGACCCCCCGGTGGTACGTTCTCTCACGACATTTTCATCCCTAGGAACTCTTGGGATAGTTTTTCAGAAAGGATCATCGAATCATCCTTTTCTGACGAGTATTCCATACCCTAGAGGCTCCTGGTGTTACAATCGATGTTCTCTTTCCAAAAATTACGGTGTAATGCCGAAGGGCAGTAAAATGGAGGGTATGGAATACACCCCAGGTAAAAGAAAGATTCCGTTTTCATTTTCCTACAACTATAATGAGATCGTCGTATACTATGGGGGGCATTCCATACCCCCAGAGCCCCCGATGGTTGGTTCTCCTACAACACCTTCATCCCTAAGAACTCTTGTGATAGTTATTCACAAAAGACCATCGAAACATTCTTTTGTGACGAGTACCCAACAGGACGCAACACACGCAAACACTTGAACTTTGAAGTCTGAACCTTCCAAATGAATGCAAAGTTTGAATATAATGGGGTGTGAGTTTCAAAAATTGACACCTGAAGCTTAAACGGTATCCTGATTCCTGAAGATGGCGGCCTGCGGAAAGATTTGAAGCATAAGGCATGAAGCTAACGCAAATACTTGAACCTCAGAAATGAAGCACAAAGTATAAAAATATCGATGTTTGATTTTCCAAATTAGCATCTGGACCTGAAGATGACTCACTGCGTAATTAATCAGATTTGAAGCATAAGCCTTGACTTTAACGTTGACATTTGAACCTTAAAAATGAAGCACAAGTTGAACCTTGATAACTGACTCTTAGAAATGAAGCACAAAGGTTAAGGTGTCAGGTTTGAGTTTCAAAAATTCACACCCGAAGTTTAAAGCGTACCTAATTCCCGAAGGATTTGAAACATAAGCCATAAACCTAAGTCAAAAGTTCAACCCTGATACTTGAACCTTAAAAGTGGAAGACGAAGCTTAAAGCTTGAAGTTTATGCTTCAAAAATTGAAATCACACCTATAGGTCCTAAAGATGGAGCCTTGCGTCCATACCTCCCTAAGACCTCTTCTGTTAGTTTTTGAGAAAGGAACATCGAATCATCATTTTCTGACGAATTTGCATACCATACAGACTGCCGGTGTTACATTAGACGATCTCTTTCCAAAAATCACGGTGTATAAGTGCTAAGAGCACTAAAATGATTGGGGTAGAATCTAAAACCGGGGGGTCTGGAGGGTATGGAATACCTTCCAGGAAAAAGAAAGATTCCGTCCTATAAGATCGTCATTGAATCCTCAGACCCATCGGTGGTAGGTTCTCTCACAACACCTTCATCCCTAAGAACTCTTGTACCATGCAGGCTCCTGGTGTCAATTTCGAGGTTCTCTTTCCAAAAATTGCAGAGGGCACTAAAATTTCCTCGCGTCAAACTGCACCCGTGTTCTGTAACCGGCGATAACACGCCCTTATCTTGAAACTAATTAGCTTTGCAGCGATAAGAAAACTTCCCATCTGTTACCAATACTGCGCAAATAATTCCCAGATGTCTTTTAACATGTAATTTAAATTTACAATTACCAAAACAGATAAACAAAACGATTATTTAAACAAAATCAAACATCAAATAATGTTGATACATCCTTAGTGTCCTCGAATTTAACCGATATGATCGAAAGTAATATTTTTAAACATGTGGAAAATTAAAAATTCCGAATAGAAGAGCTAACATAAACAATTTAATTCTTCTTTTTCGAAAATCCGGCTCGAAGAACCAAAAAAATCTGTAAGATCGTAATCGTGCCCCTAATCTTCCAAATATCGTCCGTCGTCGGTAGAGGAGTACCCGAAACTTAGATTCAGGGAAAAGTTGTTAGTCCTTCGCGGTTCGTTACAGTTCAAACACTTCGCCGGTGGTAAATATTTACATTTTACTAATCATAATAATGAACGAACGCGATTAACGGTTTGAAAATCTTTAATTAAGCGCAACCTTGCCTGTCAGAATTCCCAACTTCATTCACTGCATCGGTAATTAATGGACTGCGTTACTCGTAATTGGTTTGAGATGAGCAGCAGATGTAATCCGAGGTGACATTGTGAGTGGCGCTTGCGATTTTTAGGTGAGTGCAGTTTCTAATTTTATTGCCCGTCAAAACTGGTGCAATAGCTTTTCAATTAAGAAATCGAATCTTGAGAAATATTAAAGTTGAATCTTGAATCGTAGTGAATCTAAATTCAATCCGCTTGAACTTCAGCTTCAACTTTAAATCATCCTAAACCTTTAATTCACTTGAACTATTAATCTCTTTATTATTTAATCTGGTCAATCAGCTTGAATCTTGAACAATTAACCTTGAAGTTCGAATAATCGCAAACGTCATGAATCTCGATTCTTAGTGAGTTTAAATTCAATCCACTTGAATCTTGGATCAGCTTCAAGTTTAAGTCGTTCTGAATTTTACTGATCCTTTAGTCTACTTGAACTACGAATCTGTTTATTATCGAACCTGGTCATTCCGCTCGAACGTCATGCAATTTCATATGAGAATTCCAAACTATTTTGATTTGCACTCAATCATTTTGATACATTGATCTAAATATTGAACCACGAAACGTTTTAGACCCTGAACATTCTTAAATTTGGAATCGTTTCGAATTATATTTGGATCTTAATCGGATTAGTCATTGAATCACCTTGAATGATAATGATTTAGATTACAACTTGTTTATTTTCGCACGCTTTATTTGTTCGCGTAGCATTGAAACTGATTTAAGGCGAGCCTGTACCATTTCTTCATGTAAACAAACCTTGGGGAGACTTCCGGAAATTCTGCTTCGACGACAAATTTTGGGCCCCGAAAAAACCGCTCCACACTCCTCACCAAGCAAGCGTTTTTTTGGTCGGCAAATATTTACCAGTTGCCCAAGAAAAAAATGATGAAAAATATTTACAAAAGTATCGCGTTTGCGCTCGGTCGCTCCTCACAAAAAGCCGAAACGTGTAAAAAGTGTAGCATTCGAGCGAATTGCAATTCCCCGCGGTGACGTGTAAAATTGTGCCGATGGTAAAGAAATTCGTATAAAAAACAGGTAATCGATTTTCTATTTCGTGGATAATTGCCACTTTTACTTGTAGGTAGCCAACTGTGCGTAATAAGCTTCTTTATGTAATGATGTGTAATTTGTTGTAATTGTTTACCTACTCTCGATCGTGTTTTTTTAGTGTTGTAATTAACTAATTGCTTTACGTGCTTATCTTTTATGCAATCGCTTGGCACTCAAGGTAAGCTTATCTTCATCTTGTTCTCATTGTATAGTTTTGGGGAAAGTGTGCCTACTTCCCAATGGTTTTTTCAAAAACGGCCAAGAGGGCGTAACCCAAAAAGTTCGGACGTCAATATTTCATTCCTTGGTGATTGGGTTGGTACTTGAGGGATTATGGAAAATTGCCAACTGCAAGTCTTGGTTAGATACAAAAAGCCCGCCCCGTCTTTTAGCTTTTACTTTCCAGGCTAGCTCAAATTCAAAGGGGTTGAGAATAGAAAAGAATCCACCTAACTTTCCTTTCACTGCAGTTCCATAGATTATTTCAAGCTAGGCGCATTTACTATGGTTAAATCATGAAATCAAACAAATTATTAAGATTACATGACAAAAACCTAATCCCTAACTCACCTCCCTACTGGCCAGATGATTTATTAATGTTAACAAACAATGTAAAAAAGAAATAAGCATAATCTCAATCATCAAACTAACGTTCATTAAGACAATGTAGTTTCTTCCACTCATAATTCGAATAACACCTAAATAATAAACACCTAACATACATCCCTTGACCTAATATAATCTCATGATAAGAATGGAACGTTTACATGTACAATGTCTAGTACAAAACCCATTAACTTTAAATTGAATTTCAATACCGCTCGTTAAAAAACTTAATCCATCAGGAAGTCCTTGCCTAATCTCAAGTAGACATTTCATATTCCAGTACCCAATTTTCTTCCAAAGCTTGTGTATCAGAAAAACACAATGTACAAGGAGTGGTAGTGTATGTGATCCGTGTATTGGGACCACAGCTATCGCTCATTTTATTCACCTGACACATATTTCAAATCTAAGCCAACGTAAAACGTTGAAATATTTCTTTTTGTGATTTAAAAAAATCCGTTCATCATTCTCCTGGTGGCCAGACTAGTATTTTCCAGTTGATATTCCATGTATCCTCGTAAAATTGGTAAAAGTTAAGTCAAAGTAACGTCTTGAAGTATAACGTGTAACATGTTCTCCTGGTATCCAAAAAAATTTACAACTTGCCAACTGATAGCCCATGTATTAGGAGCAGGAACACCTCCTCGCAAGATAAAATTCTCCTAATACAAGATTTTAATAATTTAGGTGAATGTAAAGCGCTGAAATATATCTCTTGATCTTTGTAGCCAGAAAAATTGTGTAAAAGTACTTGAAACGGATACTCCGTAGTATTAGGAGCAGAAAGCCCTCCGTACATTATATTTTTATGATATAAGAGTTTCAACATAAAGCTTTTGTGATGTAAAAAGATCTCCTCGTCCATCATGTTCTCCTGGTAGCCAGAAAAAAGTTGCAAAAGATTGCTCCGTGTATTAGAAGCACCTCTCCGCACATTATATTATTCTGATATAAAATTTGTAGAAATTTAAGCCAAGGTAAACCGTTGAAATATTTTTTTAGTTATTGAAAAGACCACTTCGCCGAACATGTTCTCCTGGTAGTAAAAAAAATTTGTATCATGTGGTAGAAAATGTATGCGCTCCTAATTCACAGAGTGTTATTGCACTTTACTTCTGTTTAATCGTTTACATCAGGAGAATATAATATACGGGGGGGGGGGGGTTATTTGGGATTACATTTCACAGAGTATCTGTAAACCTAAACCAGTATAAACTGTGCACAACTCTTGTGCAGATAAAACGCCTTTTTTTAACCGAAATAGTTTTTGTTTTGATATCACCAATGGATATATTTCTTGCAGACGTTTCAATCGCCCTTTGTGAGTACCCTCTGCCGACAATCCGTTCTTGAGGTGTAAGGGAATATACCCGATCACGATAAGAGGTCGAGGAGGAGGGCTATGGTTGGTAGAAATTAATTCCTTTCGTTGAGACCTTTCCTTAGAGTACCATGAAGAATAAAACTAGTTCCACTCCCCCCCACCTTCCCCTCAGAGAGAAGGGCAGTAGTTGGTAGAAAACGGTTCCTTTCGTTGAGACCTTTAATTAGAATACAATGAGAGATAAAATTCATTTTTGGTTTGTACAAACCAATTTACTTCGATGAGACCTTTCATTAGAATACCATGAAGGGTGGAACATGTCCCCCCCCCCTCCCCAACTTTGTAAAGTTTAACTTGACACCACTTAAAGGCATGCGTATGCACAATCCGAGACCAATTGGTTGTCGTATGTAAAAGTTATACACGTTTTACTTTCAAAAACAGGATCTCAGGAAATAATTAGTGGGGGGGGGGGCTTTTGGGCTCTTTGGTTACCAGGAGCATTTTTCGAGGCGGAAAAGAAATATTCTAATATTTTTCAGTTATTTAAACTTCTGTAACAGGAGAATATAATGCACAAGGAGGTGTTAATGTCTCTAATTTACAGAATACCCTGTAGAAAATATTGTAAATTTCTTCTTGCTATCAGGAGAACATAATTCCAGATTTTTTGTGTGTACCTTCCTTTCATTCTTCTATATCAGGAGAATATAATGAATGAAGGGGGGGGGGGCGTTTGCGCTTTTATTTGACAGAGTATCTATTAGAAAATAGTGGTACATCTTTCTGGTTGCCAGGAGAACATAACCTACGCTGATACTTTTCTTGTGTGGCCAAGAGAAGTGGGAGGTTCTGCAGCTGTCAGGAGAACCTAATCCATGAAGACGACGTTTCGGTACCCAAGACAAATGCTTATACAGTATTTTTGTGTAAGCTTTTGTATCGGGAGAATATAATGCGCTAGGAGGAGATTGTAATTCTAATTAAGAGAGTTCGACAAATGTGGTAAATTAGGAGCACATAACTTCTTTTGGTGCTCAAGAGAAATGTTCCAACATTAGCTTTTATATCAAGAGAATACAATGTGCTAGGAGACGTCTGTGCTCCTAATTCACTGAAAATGTGTTACAAAAATGTTGTAAAGTTTCTCTGGTTACCAGGAGAAAAAATCCATGGGCTCTCTTTCTAAGGAAAAAATGATCTTACACCCTTCTTTTTCTACCAGGGGAAGATACTGTGCGAGGAAGCGTTTTATCACGCAATCTTTAAATTTGGATTTACTTTTTCGAGTTTTATAGAGATGGGTGGGGAAATACAACTCTGTAAAAGTCAGAGCGTGTTTTTTTAAAGAATTCGTCAAAGTAGAGTGCACTACGGGGGGTATTAGGATTCCTACTGGCTCTTAAAGAAAAAAAAGCGTTAATTAACTAAGTATAAAATGGTGGGTCATTCTGGAAGATTGGGAATTCGTTTGGTTGTAGACATTGAATTACACCACGAGAAAGAATTATTGTACCAAATCGACACCATCGAAAAATACACACGTTTCTGTAACATAAATTAAAACAACCGTATTCCGACCAAGGACAAACTAATTAAGCGCGCCAGGATATTTTTTTCTGTTTCAACGAACTAGGAACTTTCTTTGCCATTAGTAAACAAAAGGGAACAGAACTTTGTTGTAGGAATTGGCGAAAATAACCAAGTCATTTTCAAAGTACGGTTTTTAGACGAGTCTGATAGATCCCTCCTCGATGGGGGAAGGGATTAAGCATACGGGCTGGTGCATTTTCGGCGAGTACTTAACACTTTGAGCATAGAAGCGAGTAGAATACTGCTAAAGGGGTTTAGGAGCACCCACAGTATTTTCTCTATCCAAGTTTCACTCAATTCGCCGATGGGAGGCGCACATGTCAACTTATATCTTTCTGACTGCAAATTTGTTTCAGGGAGTATGGAAACAATCAATCTTTTGTCAGTTTTTGGTTGCCTCTGCGTGCAGAAAATTTGGGCCAGCAACTGCTACCAAGAGATGAACTACGAGAAATTGTATGGCTATAAATATGACATCAATTGCAACTACCTCAACGACACCAACATAGAAGAGCTGCAAGAAATTATAGTAAAAACCAAAGTGAAGCTAACCATCACCAACTCAAACTTATCGAACATAACCTCAAAGTTTTTCAAAAACATTATCAACACCAAAGAGTTAATCATAAACTCGTCCGCAATTCCGCTAAGCGGAAAACTTTTCACGCACTTAGACCGCTTAGACGTGCTCATCCTCAACAATAACTCAATGGAAGAATTACCTCAAGGCTTTTTCGACGGCCCGCAAAACCTGCGCGTGCTCAAACTGAGTTACAACGGTCTCGGTCGCCTACCGAACAACACCTTCACAGAGATACATCTGCAGGAGCTCGACTTGAGCCACAATCGCTTCGTCGACTTGTCCCTCCCTTGCGAGCTGCAGCAGCTGACCTACCTCGATTTAAGTCACAATCAAATCGCGAACCTGCGGAATTTGTCTCCTCCCTGCACTCCACTCCTAAAAGTGCTGGACCTCTCCCACAATAGGCTCGTGGACCTGAATCCTCTCCGCGAACTGAGATACCTGCAAAAAATCGACCTCTCCCACAACCTACTCGAAGACATCGGCGATGGAGTGACCGACCTGGAGAACCTCAAGCAGGTGAACCTTGCGGGAAACTTACTCCGAAACGTCAACTTCCGGAACTCTTCTTCCATAACGGTACTAAACCTAGCCAATAATTCCCTTACCGGAATCGATTCGTCCAATCTGGTGCTGCTGGAGGAGTTAAACTTGGAAATGAACCAGTTAACTGAAATTCCACCGTCGCTCTCGGACGCGCTGAAAAAAATCGACCTTTCGCACAATCCCCTGGCTTTCAATCGGGAGCTCCGACGATTTCCGAACTTGGTCAATCTGCGACTAAGCGATTGCGGCATCGGCAAGCTCGAGCGCCAGCTGGACGGGCTAGACTCGCTCGAAGTGCTCGATCTGTCCCGCAACCTTGTCGATCTTCGGGAGGCCTCACTCAAGCTGGGGAGGTTGAACGTGTTGGATTTGAGCGCGAACTCGCTGAGATCGCTGCTCGTTTTGGAGTTGAAGAGCTTGGTGCGGTTGAATTTGTCTTGGAACTCTTTGGAGGGATTAGAGGGTGAGGTTTTTGTTGGTTGCCCCAGGATCGCCGTGCTGGATCTGTCGCACAATCACCTGGAGTCACTCGACGACAGTGTCCTAAGGCCACTCGAAGGATTGAGCGAAGTGCATTTGGAGTATAACAGACTTGCGTATTTGGCGTACGGAGGTATCCTGGCGGTGCATAAGAGTTTGCGCTTCCTCGGCATTGGAGACAACCGGTTCTCGTGCCAGTTCCTATCTTCAATGGTATACCACTTTGGAGTAAACAACATCGAATTTGGCGAGACCGCGAACGACTACAGCGAAAATGTCGCAGGAATTCACTGCCACGAGGTTAGGTCCGTTGATTCTGATACTCGCAGTGAGAATCTTACGATATCGGACACTTTGATATTTGTGATAGCGTCTGTGATTTTAGGGTTACTCGCGGTGATTGTTTTGGTACTGTATAAAATATCGGTGTTTGTGCGCAGGCGTGCGAATATTGACGAGGTTGAGTTGATTGACAGACGATTTAAGTTAAGAAATTATTTATAAAGCTATTTTTACCAAATAAAACTTTTATGGCCGAGTCTTTTGCATGGATCTACCGTAAATAAGAGTGACTTTGCGTTTTGTTAACAGGATCACCGACTTACTACTCCCCCATCGACTAGATCCATCTTCATTAGTTTGCAAGACTGCCTCTAAGATCTTTCGAGAGGCTTTAAAGACATGTGCGGTGACTTTACCACTGTGTAAGAATCTTATAGTTTTCAAGAGGCGTTAGTACGTATTTAAAAGTTCCCGAGAACAATTATATTGACCATTTCGTATTAAAGCTTTTAAGCACTTGGATATAAAAGATTTGATTTGAGTTTATGGGCCGGCAAATGGCGCCAGTAATTTGAAAGGGCCACAAGGAGCACTTGATTCTGTTTTAGTGAGCTGTGGAACGTGCACTTGCACGAGTTTTTCCCGGGTAACATCGGGCTACCCAAATGGTAGAGAATACTCACTGGGAAAGGAAGGTTCCATGGTTCTTTGTGAAAAAGTATCACAAAAGCCCTTAAGCTGGGAGAACGTACCGCCGGGGGGGGGGGGGGGTATGTATACGACTATTTTATGATAGTTTCATGGAAGAGAACAGTTTCAGTTTTCATTTTCATGGGCGGTATTGGCTTGGGGGGGGGGGTATGGATACGATACAATACGATCCGATGATTCTATGATAGTTGTGGGGAAAATAACAATTGAATTTCTATTTCCCTTGGGGGTATTGCCTGGGGGTATTCTGTTCCATTTCCTTTTTCATGGGGGGGTCATACCCCCCACACCCCTCGGTTCTAAATTCTTCCCCCACAGGTTTACTGCCTTTAGCACTTACACAGAGAGATAACAGCCAATTTGTACGTAATACAAGTCAGAAAAGGGAGATGGATGCACAAGAGTCCTTAGGGTGGGGTGATACGAGAAAACGTAACACCGGAGGGGGTCCAGGGGGGGGTATGGAATTCCCCCAGGTATATGACACTTTTATGATAATTGCAGAGAAGAGAACATTTAATCTCTTTTTTTCTGGGAGGTATTGTCTAGGGGATATATATTGCCTGAGGGGTATTTCATACCCTTGGACCCCCGCGGCTCTAGGTTCTTCCCCAACACGTCAACTGTCTTTAGCCCTTTAGCGCATCGTCATTTTTGGAAAGAGAATTGAATTGAGAATTGAATATAACGCCAGGATCCTCAAGGATATTCGATGGTTCTTTGTAAAAAAGCATCTCAAGAGTTCTAATGGGACCCCTTTCATTCCTGCGGAGACCCCACGTCCGGATCTAAATTCTTCGAATCAAATGGGTAAGAAATCCACGTCAGAAAAGGGAGATGCGATGGTTCTTTGTGAAAAACAAGAGTCTTTAGGGTGAAGTCTTGTGGGAGAATGTACCACCGGGGAGGATAGAAATACCGCCCCCAGTATAGAAGATTTTGTGATAGTTGTAGGGAAAACAACATTTAATTTACTTTTTCGTGGGAGGTATTTTTTAGGGGGTACTACATGGAGGGTACTCTATACCTCCCAGACCTCCTGGAGCTGGATTCAACCTCAACATGTTTATTGCCTTTTGCACTTACACCGTAATTTTTGGAAAGAGAACATCGAATGGGTAAGAAATACACGTCAGAAATGGGAGATGCAACGGTCCTTGTAGGAAAACGTACCACCGGGGGTCTGGGGGTATGGAATACCCCCCAGTACACGAGATTGTATGATAGTTGTAGGGAAAAGAACATTCAAACTCCTTTTTCCAGAGGAGTATTACCTAGGGGGCATTGCCTGAGGTGTATTCCATAATAAAGTTATTGTTATTGGACAGCGCCTTCTGCGATAAATGAAATTTTGTATACAAAGACATTCAGCAGGGAATTTAAAGACAATTAATTTTTCCCGCAAAGAAACATAGTTAATAAATTGGTTAAAATTAACATCAACACAGCGCAACAGTGGCTTATTATTCCTGTGCATAATCGCGATCTTGATACTTTCGCGAAATTGAAGCCGGCTTGCTTCGAAGCGATGTTTTCCAACGAGATAAGTAAGTTATTTTAAATTTTTTGATTTGTATAAAGTAGTGGTCGCTTATTTTTAGGAATGTGCATAAGGTTTGACATAATTTTAATATTCCTAAAGGAATCGACCACCATGAAAGTACCTTGAACAAACTTTGTATTGTATTTATTGATATTAATATACAAAGAATGTTGGTTATTTTGTTTCACTGATGGAAAAATTGTATCAAATTGTGATACCATTCCTTTGGTTGGATTAAAATTTTGTTTAGAATACAGAGGTGTTTGTATGTTTTGAACAGGTTACATTGAACGTGTTTTAACTGAACTGCGGCTGTCGTTTTGATAACGACAGCTAGAGCCGTAGAAAAATAAACTTTCTGATCGCAGAGCCGCATCTGGGGACACAACCCCAAGCGCGCTTATTGTGGTGAACCAATATAGCGTGCGAATCAAAAAGTTAAAGGCCCACTGTTACTGGTGGGTTATTCGGCTCCCTGCGAATGCGATCACCGAATGTTAAAATATGGCCGGGGTGGACAACCCTTACTCGAATAAGAGAATGGAGATATCGCTCCAGGATTAACTTAAAACGGCCGGTGTGAGTAGGGACGGAGGTAAATCCCCAATGGTCGACGAGGTTGGCCTGTGGTGGAATGAATGCAATAGTAAATCCCAGCGAAAGAGAAGGTCGGAGACGAAATACAATTTCTTTTCAACAAGTCTGTGTAGTAAAACACTAAAAATACTGACGGGACAGCCTGTATATGATAATTATTTAAATTCATGATGTAAATCTGGGGATTATTTACGAAATAAGAACAGAGTTTGTTTCATTTGAATTTGTATTCAGTGTTTGTTTTTCCTTTAAGATTTGTTTGTAACTTGTTTAAATATTATCGCTTTGTAATTATTCAATTTAGATAAGGTGCCAGAAGTCAGAGACATCTAATCAAATTTACGTGTTTTATTTTTATAAAACATAAAACACGCAAAAAGGTTACATCTGGTTTTGAATGTTCACGAAAATTCTTTGAAATTCTTGGGTTAGGCAATTTATTATACTGGCCGAACAGCAATGGCGAGAAGATCTACTTCTATTGGTCACTGCCTGAGAGATCAACACACTGGGTCATATACGACGACCTCAAGTCAAAGGTGGTACTTAAATCATTTGTACCCTGAACTAATTTTTTATTTTACGAAACGATAACTTTTAATTTTCACCTGCTTTTTGAACATTCCCTTACTGTATTGTATTTAAATACGTATGTACGAGTATAATGTTATTAAAAAAAATATATATATAAACACATTCTTTATTTAGTGTGTACAGGGTGTTTCTAAGTTGATGCAAAATATTTTATACGCTAATTTTGCATAAGAATATTTGGTTTACCACTAGAAATGAGGTTCGAACTCGGGTTCGGGCATAGATATTTGTAAGTGTATAGTGGGTTGGGCAGGTAGAACAGCCTTGACTGAAACCCTGCTCACTTAAAAATAAAGGCAAATAGAATAAAACAAAATAAAATAAAATAAAATAAAATAAAATAAAATAAAATAAAATAAAATAAAATAAAATAAAATAAAATAAAATAAAATAAAATAAAATAAATTAAAATAAAATAAAATAAAATATGTGATTAGGAAATTATAGGTACTTTTTTTTCATTACGTAAAGCCCTCATTAATCAAACTGAAAATTCATAAAAAAAGTCATCACTTTCAAAACTAGTTGTACAAATAACTATTTCAAAACTAATTTAAGGCAAAAAAGCGGTAAATTAAGCATCACTCTTACTTTTCCAATTTAATTATTTTTTCTAGCGGTGTCACATTAACTATCCGTTTTCTAGAAAAGTATGAGAGCGGCAAAATTTTTCTTTCCATAACTAATTAACAACAAAAAAGCGGCACCTACCTATGTTGATGGACATAACTAATAGCGTTTACGCGGACGGTAAAAGAAAGTTAAAAGATCGTGAAAAAAATGTTCTAAATACGAACTTAAACTTGGTTACACTCATACCTCTGTTGATAAAGAAAGTTATAGGTTATCTAATCATTCGGAAAGGGCAACTCATGTTGACCCCCCTCAATTTGTTTAAAATAGTCATAATAGACCGTTCAAGAAATGTGGTCAATAATAATAATCCTGCTAATCTTCGTATTGGTCCTACTGGCTTATTTGGACACTCGGAAACCGAGATTCTTTCCACCAGGTCCCGCCTGGTTTCCGATTTTGGGATGTGCGTTGAAATTGCGAAAGCTGCACGTGGAGACGGGGACGTTAGCTGAGGCGACGCAAGCGTTGGCGACAAAGTACGGCCCGGTGGTTGGGGCGCGAGTGGGTCGAGAACGTGTCGTTTTCATCTGCGGAGCGAAGGCGATCCACGAGCTACTTTCCAGAGATGAGCTCAACGGTAGACCGGACAATGTAGCTACCACGAGTAGAACTGGTGGAGAACGCAGAGGTATGATCTTTACAGACTCCGAATTTTGGCAAGAGCAAAAGAAGTTCGTGATTCGACACTTTAAGGAGACTAGTTTTCGAAAGGAGGCCATGTGGGAGATGCTCGAGGAAGAGGTGAGATCTATCATTGGTGACGTTAAGAGAGCAATCGAAAAGAACCCCGCGGTCGACTTGCACAGATTCTTCCGGATCCATGTGTTGAACGCGTTTTGTTTCCTAATAACAGGCCAGACAAGCAACCACCACGAGTTGATTGAATTGGAAGCCGCCATTGCGCATCTTGCTCAGAGTGTTCCTATGGCCGGTCCGGTATTCGGCAAGTTTCCGTTTTTAAGATACATCTGCCCCGAATATTGTGGATATAACAAGTATGTAGCCATTCATGAAAAAATATTGGCGTTCTTCCACAAAAAGGTAAAGGTTCTCAAGGATGCTTCCAACAGTGGTCTTATTCCCTCATATTTGGACAAACTAAATTCTGGCCAAAGCGGTGAAAGCTTCTCTGAAGGCCAACTGCTAGCCCTTTGCCTAGACCTACTGGTTGCCGGATACGACTCCATTACTAACACTCTAAAGTTTGCCTTCTTGTATCTCATACTACATCCAGATATTCAGAAGAAAGCGCAAGAGGAAATCGACACCGTTCTTCAGGGGAGACCACCTACTCCAGAGGATAGACCGCAGTAAGTATTCCAAACTGGCAAAACATCTCCCTTAACAGATTCTAGCTTACCGTACGTCGAGTGCATATCTTTGGAATCCATACGGATGTTCACAGGCAGATCTTTCTTTGTACCTCGCAGGGCGACCAAGGATACGCAATTTAACGGCTACTTCATTAGGAAGGTACACATCGACCAGACTGACTATTTCACCTAGGTACTTGTTTTTAGAACACCACCTTAATTGGAAACTTCCGAGATTTGCTCATGGATGAAGCTGCCGGTTGGCACAATCCGGAGGACTTCGATCCCGACCGTTTCATTCGAGACGGTAGACTGAAAATTCCGATCAATTTCCTTCCGTTTGCCTGGGGCAAGAGAAGATGCGTAGGAGAGATGTTTACTCGCGCAAATGTTTTTCTCGTAGTCGCCGGTCTTCTTCAAGCGTTTAACTTCGAGACAGTGCCCGGGAATCCTGTAACGGTAGAAACTGTCGAAAACTTCACGCCGACAGTCAATCATTATAAGACATACGTTACATTGAGATAAAACCACTTCAGTGGCCACTTGGTGCACAGGAGACTATCAAACAGTTATTTTTTGTCATTAAATACTACAACCAATCGGTTTAATTCTTTACCCTAGAAGCAAAAGGGGTGAGGGGATCTTACTTAGGGGTAGTTTTGGTTTTCGTATGCGTCGTGACCCTTTAATGAATTAGTAAAACAGACGGCGGCAGTCTGTCGGACGTTGTGAGTAAATATGACTATCTTAATGGGTTTTACGTGCCAAAACGGCCCTGGCAGGTTTACGCTGAATGATATCATTCGTCTCCCTGCAAATTTAAAGGGGCATTGGCTTTTGATGAATGGATTTCGTGGTGGGGTTGAACGAAACCTTTTCATTCGTGACTAAAGATAGCCGATTTAATTACTTACCGCTACTTTGCGGACGGTTTCGTAAAATGAAAGAATAAGTAGGGATTAATTCCGACAATTTTGGGCTTTAGGTCAGAGATTCTGGTTCCAACCACGAGATGGTTGCGTAACGTGGTCCGGAATCAATATTCGTGGGAAAGGTTTTCGAGATGAAGATCTGATGGCAATGTCCATAGCAAGGCTACAAAGGAAGACGTTGATCTGTTGACAACGTGGCAAAAACGCAAGGAACTGTCACTGGAGATCAGTAAGGAGTTGTTTTCTTATCTTGTTTTGCTGTCTCCTATCACGTTTCGAAGTATTTTGTACCACGATGTAGTGTTAGAAGTGAGTTAGAGGGGTTCAGGGCAAACAAAGGTCGCCAGAGGGAAGAAGGCGTGCCCATTGCAGATGAGTGCACCGCGAAGCGTATTGAAGAAATCCTGGAGGCAACCCTATCGTAAGAAAATGAGAAAAGGTCTCACGAAATATAGATACTGTAAGCCTACCGGTGAAGGATCCCTGTACCACATCCCTTCATGGTGGGAACCGCTGCGAGCAAACAAAAATGGTCTTCAACCAGAGCACTGCGCAACCGTTACCGCGAGACAGGACCACGCAGAACCTAGGGTTCTCTGGAAAATCTGGTCAAAGAAGCCATCACCAAGGGAAACGTACCAACCCAAAGTCTGCATCAGGAGAATATAATACAAGAAGAGGCCTTTATAATTATTATACATGTGGTATTTGTAGACAAACTTATGGAAAATATTTCTTGGCACTTGTTGAAAAACCCTTGTAAAATTTTTCTGGCTATCAGGAGAACATGATGGACGAAGAGGTTCTGTTTTATCACTATAGGAAGTATCGGAAGTACGCTTTATTTTGGATTAAATTTTTGTCAAATGTATCAGGAGAATATAATACACGAGGAGATATTTCTGTTTCTAATAATTGTGGCATTTGTTAGAAAACCCTTGTACAATTTTTCTGGCTACCAGGAAAACATGATGGACGAAGAGGTGTTTTTGTAGAATTATGTAAAGTATTTCAACGCTTTATTTCGGATTAAATTTTTGCCAATTCTATATTAGGAGAACATAATGCATAAGGTCTTTCTGTTCCTAATAAACGTCATTTTCGATCACTATGAGAAGTATTTTAACGATTTATTTCGAGTTAAATTTTTGCTAATCCTGTATTAGGAGAATATTAGAACACGAGGTAGTCTTTCTGTTTCTAATATACGTGGAATTTGCTGGCAAACTTTTGTAAAAATTTTCTGGCTACCAGGAGATCATGATGGACGAAGAAGTCTTTTTCTATCACTATGAGAATTATTTCAACGCTTTATTTCCGATTAAATATTTGCCAATCTTGTATCAGGGGAATATAATACATGAGAAAGTCTTTATGTTTATAATATACGTGGCATTTGCTGGCAAACTTTTGTAAAATTTTTCTGACTACCAGAAGAACATAATGGACGATTAGGTTTTTCTATGAGAATTATTTAAACGCTTTATTTAGGATTAAATTTTTACCAATTCTGTATCAGGAGAATAGAATACATGAACAGATGATACAGGTGGCATTTGTTGGAAAACTTATGGAAAATATTTGTTGCTACCAGGAAAATATGATGGACGAAAAGGTCATTTTCTATCACTATGCGAAGTATTTCAACGCTTTATTTCGGATGAAAGTTTTGCCAATCCTGTATTAGGAGACACGAGAAGGTCTTTCTGTTCCTGATACAGGTGGCATTTGTTGGCAAACTTATGGAAAATATTTCTTACTACCAGGAGAACATGATGGACGAAGAGGTTTTTTTCTATCACTATGAGAAGTATTTCAACACTTTATTTAGGATTAAATTTTTGCCAATTCTGTATTAGGGGAGTATAATTGACGAGAAGGTATTTTTCTGGCTACCAGGAGAACATGAAAGATAAAGAGGTGTTTTTATCACTATGAGAATTACTTTAACGTTTTATTTGGAGTTAAAGTGTTGTCAATCCTGTATTAGGAGAATATAATACACGAGAAAGTCTTTCTATTTCTAATATACGTGGCATTTCCTGGCAAACTTTGAAAATTTTTCTGGCTACCAGGAGAACATGGTGGACGAACAGGTTTTTTTTAATCACTATGAGAATTATTTCAATGCTTTATATCGGATAAAATTTTTGCTAATTCTCTATCAGGGGAATATACTGCATCAAAGGCCTATAACACAAACTATACAATTGTAACAAGTCTACGATTACAAGTAATCTGCCTGTAACTATAACTGCAAGTCCTAATGAATTCGGTATATGCAAATGAGTTGTGTTATGAAAAAGCTACAAGTGTAAAATATATTCGAACAGTTGTAGGACTTGTACGGCTTGTGTTATAGGCTCCAGGAGGCCTTTCTGTTCCTGATACATGTGGCATTTGTTGGCAAATTTATGGAAAATATTTCTTGCTACCAGAATTACATGATGGACGAAGAGGTATTTTTCTATCACTATAAGAAACATTTCAATGCCTTATTTCGAACTAAATTTTAACGAATTCTGTATTAAGAGAATATAACACACGAGGAAGTGTTCTGTTTCTAATATACGTGGAATTTGCTGGCAAACTTTTGTAAAATTTTTCTGGCTACCAGGAGAACATGATGGACGATGTGATCTATTTCTATCACAATGAGAAGTATTTCAGCGGACTAAACTTTTGCGAATTCTGTATCAGTAGAATATAATACACGAGGAGGTTCCTAATAATTGTGGCATTTGCCAGAAAACTCTTGTACAATTTTTCTGGCTACCAGGAAAACATGATGGACGAATAGGTGTTTTTCTAGAACTCTGAGAATTATTTCAACGCTTTATTTCGGATTACATTTTTGGTAATTCAGTATCGGGAGAATATAATACATTAGGAGGTCTTTCTGTTCCTAATACACGTGGCATTTGTTGGCAAACTATTGTACAATTTTTCGGGCTACCAGGAGAACATGATGAACGAAGAGGTCTTTTCTATTACTATGAGAAGTATTTCAAAGCTTTGTTTCGAGTTAAATTTGCCAATCTTGTACCTATTAGGAGAATATAATATACGAGAAAGCCTTTCTGCTTCGTGGCATTTGCTTGCAAACTTTTGTAAAATTTTTCTGGCTACCAGGAAAACATGATGGTTCCTGAAATGGAGGGTGACGTGCGATTGGCGATAGACTATCGAAGTTACCCACCACCGAGAATAGATGACCTACCAGGTGCGTTTGTAACACCTTATGGAATGTTGTGTTTCATCCGTATGCCGTTCGGATTAAAAATGCGTCGTCTAGTTTCCAGCGCCTAATGGATCGGCAACTGTTAAATCTCATTTGGGGAATCTGATGAAGGTCTTAAAATGTCCAGAATTCGTGGAGTACCTTGCGAACGTGACAACACCGCAGAGTGTTCGTCCAAACGTTGGAAAGCTGTCAGCGATCCTCGAGTCGGGTCATCTATCCAGCACTATTCGAACTACTTAGAAGGTTTTATCTAATCGGTCGGAGAATGTAATTCGAGTTGACCTTTGTAGTTTGTTTTGGAGTAGTCTTAATCGATTCCTGTTGAAATGTGGTCAATAATATTTATAATTTTCGTGTTGGTCCTGCTGGCCTATTTGGACACGCGGAAGCCGAGGTACTTTCCACCAGGCCCCGCCTGGTTTCCGTTTTTGGGATGCGCGTGGGAATTGCGGAGGCTGCACAAGGAGAAGGGCTCGTTATCTGAGGCGACGCAAGCGTTGGCGACAAAGTACGGTCCGGTGGTTGGGGCGCGAGTAGGCCGCGAACGCATTGTTTTCGTTTACGGATGGAAGGCGATCGACGAAATGCTTTGCAGAGATGAGCTCAACGGTAGACCGGACAATATCGCCACCACGAGTCGAACTGGTGGAAAGCGCAGGGGTATCGTCTTCACAGACTCCGAATTTTTACAAGAACAAAAGAAGTTCGTACTCAGACACATTAACGAGGCTAGTTTCCGAAAAGAGGTCATGCGGGAGATGATCGAGGAAGAGGTGAGATCTATCATTGACGGCGTCACGAGAGCAATCCAAAAGAACCCCGTGGTGGACCTGTACAGTTTCTTCCGGATTCATGTGTTAAACATGTTTTGCTTTTTAATAACAGGCCAGAGAAGCAACGAACACGAATTGAATGAATTGGAAGCCCTCACTGAGTCATTTACTCGGAATGTTCCCCTGAGCGGTCCGGTATTCGGCTTGTTTCCGTTTTTAAAGCACATTTGCCCCGAATATTGTGGATATAATGTGTATGTACGAATTCATGAAAAAATATTGGAGTTCTTCCACAAAAAGGTAGAGGTTCTCAGGGATACTGCCTCCAATCGTGGCGTTATCCACGCATACTTGGCCAAATTAAATTCTGGCCACAGCGGAAGCAGCTTCTCCGAAGAGCAACTGCTAGCCATTTGCTTAGACCTGGTGGTTGCCGGCTACGACTCCATCTGTAATACCCTCAAATTTGCCTTTTTGTATCTCATACTGCATCCAGACATTCAGCAGAAAGCGCAAGAGGAAATCGACACCGTTCTTCAGGGGAGACCGCCTACTATAGAGGAGAAACCGCAGTAAGTATCCCAAACTGCCATAATATCTTACTCAACGGATTGCAGCTTATCGTATGTTGAGGGTATAGTTTTGGAAACCATAAGGACGTTCGTAAGCAGATCTCACTTTCCACCTCGCAGGGCGACGAAGGATACGCACTTTAACGGCTATTTCATTAAAAAGGTACCTACTGATCGACCTGACTGACTGTCTCACCGGCTTGATTTTAGAACACCACCGTAATATTAAACCATCGAGGTATGTACATGGATGAGGCTGCCGGTTGGCAAAACCACGAAGATTTCGATCCCGGTCGCTTCGTGCGAGAAGGTAACGTGAAGAATCCGGCCAACTTCGTACCGTTCGGTTTGGGCAAGAGAAGATGCGTGGGAGAGGCCTTTTCTCGCGAAAGCATTTTCCTCATAGTCGCCGGTCTTCTTCAGTCGTTTAACTTCGAGACAGTGCCCGGGAATCCTGTAACGGTAGAAACTGTCGAGAACTTTACTCCGTCGTGCAAGTCTTATAAGACGTACGTTACATTGAGATAAAACAATACATAGTTATTTATGTCATTGAATACTACATCCAACCGAGTTAGTTCTGGGTCCGTAGCCCCCCTCCCCCCCCAGTACGTATTTTGTCCCTTGTAACTAGGTCACCTGATACATTTGGTTATGCGCTCAGTTGCGCCACTTGAATTAAAGCTAGCGCCATTACGGTTAAGCCATAAAAATTTTTTAAAAAGTGGAGGGTCTAACTTAGCGTCTTCAAAAGTTATTTCCGGATGTGTGTCCATTTTGAAAATATTTTACATCGATTCGGCCTTCGGAGTAACTCCTAAATACAAATTTTTAAAAACCTACCTATTTTACTTTCCCAGAATCGTTTAACTAAAGCTCCCAAAAAACACCCTGTATAGTGTTTCTGAAACACTATAATGGCGCCAAGATTTTTGTTTACGGCGCATTTTAGCGCATGATGAAAGGTACGATGTAGTAGAAAAAACATGTTAAAAAACGTAACTTTTGAAAACGTTAAGTTAGACCCCCCCCCCACTTTTTAAAAATTGTTTATGGCTTAACCGTAATGGCGCTAGCTTTAATTCAAGTGGCGCAATTGAGCTCATAACCAGATGTATCAAGTGGCACAAATACCGGTAGCAAAATGCGTTATGGGGGATTCCGTTCACTTGTCCCCCCCCCCCCCCCCCCCCCAAATATATTTAAGGATAACCAAAAAACAATAATGGCGCAAAGATATCTTTTTACGGCGCATTTCAGCGCATACCTGAGAGTACAATTTCGTATGAAAAGATGTTAAAAAAAAGTAACTTTTAAAAACGTTAAGTTGGCCCCCCCCACTTTTTGAAAATTTGTCACGGCTTAACCGTAATGGCGCTAGCTTTAATTCAAGTGGCGCAATTGAGCGCATAACCAAATGTATCAGGTGACCTAGTTACAAGGGACAAAATACGTACTGGGGGGGGGCTACGTTCACTTCCCCCCCCCCAAATGTTTTTTCGGATTTCTAAAAAACGATAATGGCGCAAGAGTTATTATCGGTGGCGCATATGAGCGCATAACGAGCGCATTCATTTCAAAATAATACGACTATGAAATCTCTCAGGGGGGGGGGGGGGCAAGTTAACGGACCCGTTAGTTCTTCAGCGTAGAAGTAAAAGGCGCGAGGGGAACTACTTAGGGGTGGTTTCACACCCTCAAACAAAACGGCTAATAAGTAGTTGTGCACCTGACAATTTTTTAAAGGAACATTACAATTTGTTTAAGTCTTTGTTATAAAATAAGGAGTAGCGAAAAGATTTAATTCAATAAATCATTAAATGTTTAATACGAAATCTGCATTATTAGTAATTGGCTATCTGTCAATCCCTTAAGCTATTAAAAGCTCTTAAGGGCGTAAGATGCGTTGGGCTCTGTCTTTGGACAACCCCATTCGGATGGCCAGAAGTCAAGAGTCGGAACAGTATTAATTGTTTAATTAAATAATTAATTATAAATAACTAGGACTCTAGGTGAATTTCGTTCCGACTTTGGGAAATTCCCGTACTGCGTTCCCGTGGGACCTTTGGGAAATCGCCTTCAAAGAAACTTACGTTCTGGGGGCATACGTAATTGATACGTTCGACCGTCCATTTTTTCGCCTCTTGTCTGAATTCGACGGTATGAATACTTCTACAGCCGTAGTAGATCTCGCTTTGGCGCCATCTATCAGTCACATTGAGATTTAGAATAACGAAAAAGAGAAAAACTGTCGTTTCGTACAATTTTTTGGAAATTATCGTTTATATAAACCTTGTCCTGATAATAGGTGAATACGTAGGTACTTTCCGGAAGTATGGGACACTTTAACGATAGGTCTTACCCCTATCCTGACATAGTACCTTAAAAGGAATCTTCCGAGCGATTCAAACGCTCCCTTATTAGGAGCCAGTTCAATGTTTGGGCTATCACGTGGGACTGTGTCGATCATGTTCAAGGCAGGTCCATCGAGCTAAAACACGAACCCAAAAGATTACTGATCGCCTAATGGATAAAAATTAACAGGTCTTGTGAGAAATTAATACAGTTATTAACGTCCTTAGACCGATAACGGACGCGGTCGAATTTTGTAAACCAAGGCGTTCCAAGGTATTCTAATTAACTGCCAACTACCTCCCTTCGTCCTTTCCATTCAACAAAAGGAATTAATTTCTACCAACCGCAATCCACCTCGTCCACTCCTTATCGGGGTCGGTTATAATGCTTTATATCTCAAAAGCGGAGTGTCGGAGGAAGGTATCTACAAAGGAGTCAATCTAGCATGCACCTTATAACCCAATTATTTACTAAGCTATTTCGCTTTAAAAAATGCGCTTTATCTGCACAAGATTTGTGCGGCTTGATTCTAATATGTACGTCAAGCGTACAGTAAATAGTACTGTTGTTGGGAAAATCAAATGTACTCGTAATACTACATGTACCGGGTGACCCAATAAGACTGTTCCTCGGCCATATCTCTGGAACCGTTATCGTAGCATGACTTAGGGATAAACAAAATTATTGGGTAAATCGGTCATGAAGAATCGCTGGAAAATATTTTCAAGTTCTAAAAATGACCACCAGAGGGTGTAACTGCCACCTTAAATTTTAAAATTTCGCATAATAAACTAAAAAATGTTTTTTTTTTCACAATTTTAAAGAGAACCAGTTTAAAACTCAGTCAAAAACAAAGATGGCGTGGGGCGTTCAATTGTCCTTGCAATAACCTGCTTTAACTTCTTAACGGTTTGACCGATTTGAACAAATTTGCGTTGAAAAGAGTATTCCTTGGGCAATAAGAATCAACCAAAATATAGTTAATTTAGTGGAAACCTTCTCCGCTAGGGGGCTAGTTTTGACACCATGACCCAAAATCCTAAATTGTATTTTAAATTTTATTATGCGAAATTTAAAGAAAATGCAATTTTAAAATTTAAGATGGCAGTTACGCCCTCTGGTGGTCATTTTTAGAACTTTACTCTTATTTCTTAAACAATACTATTTGCAACAATTTCCGGATCATAAAACTATAAAAACTAAAAATTTTAAGTGGGGTATTTTATTAAAGAGTCTAAAATGCGGTTTGTCTTGGAACCTTTTTAAAGCTACTGAGTACTTAAAGGCCATACAACTTATAACAGTGGGTTACGCTGGTTGGGATCAATACGTAGTCAGAGGACATATTAATATCAAAACAGGCTTTCACAGAAAACAACAGAGCTATAATCAAACAGTTTGATTGTATCGAAAACCAGTATGTAATCGAACGTTATATCAAGGAGTCGTCGAAAATAAAAAAAAATGAGCTTGTTGAGCTCAAAAAGGGCGCTTTCTACCTAATCTGTAACACGCAACAACACAAACAAACAAATAAGGAGGCGGCACAATAATATTGTGAAATAGCAATTCTAACGTCTGACACTGAGCCAAATTGGATACCAAACCATAATTAATACTCATTAAGAATCAATAAAGCAAAGTTGTGAGTCGACCACGCATTGCGCGTACAAAGCATATACGTGACGCCTTTCCTACGTCTGAAAATCCTGATTCTTCTTGTATCCCGTTCCCGTGGGACCTTTGGGAGGTCTCCTTAACGCCTTTAAAAATGTCTGATAAAAATGATTAAATAACCGAGATGACTTCTCTTAACGTTCGACATATACAGTGAATTTTTTTTAAATACGAACATAGGAGTTTGCATGCAATGTAATTTCCCTATGTTCGATTTAAAAAAAAACACATCAATCTATGAGGTGTGCGCGGTTCACATTCCCAAATCGTACAACTTGTGTGACTATGAACAGCAACTGATAGTCTTTATGATGAAGAGCACCCGGTAAGATTTTTTTAAATAAGCCGTGTGAGGCCATAGCAACTTTAGGATAAATTTTTCTTAAACTTACGATAACTTGACTTCACATGGCACGCGCTGACATCGCAATTCATTGTGAACCAACCTTCAATTATTTGTAGGTCATGTGCACCTAGTATTCTACTAATTTGATTTATTCAATACATAAATGAAGAAAATAAGAAAATAAATACCGAAAACAATTACAATAAATGTTGGAAGTGTCCTCCTTGGCATTCTAAGCAATAACCTAACCGATTTCGTAATTAAATTGGACGGTGGTATTTTCAAAAATGTGACAGCTGTCAATTGTATCTACTACTCATTTGAACTACTCAATAGATTGATGTGTTTTTTTAAAAATCGAACATAGGGAAATTACATTGCATGCAAACTCCTATGTTCGCATTTAAAAAAAATTCACTGTATACCTTTGTGTATATGAGAGGAATGTTCTTAGCTGTACGAAATTATCTATGATTAGTTAATTTCAATTAAAAAAATCTCTCTTTCAATTCAAGTTTTCATTTACACTATGCCGACAGTAATGAAACCAATAGAAACCGTAAATGATAGCCTGAAGAAAGTTTGTTGGAAAGAATTCGTTTGCGGCTGGGGAGCTGCATGTGTAAAAATAACAGTAACCGATCTAATCAACAAGATTATTCTTTACTGCCGCTTATGCAAAAAAACATTGTCACTCTCCATCAAGTTTGGGTATTTACGAAGAACTATTTCTGTAGTTTGGGACAAATTGCGCCTCACGCTCTCTCCTTCTATAGGCGCTGTTGTCTAGGACGTAAGTCCTTTCGCAGCACTGGGTGGCCCTTCCACACAAGGAGGAAGGTTACCAGCGGGAACCACGTGGAGGTAGCTGCTCGAAACTATGACTCGTACCAGTCTAATGGTGTGCACCGCTACGATAGGACTTTAACGTTAGTTGTCTGGTTCAATTACCTTACGTTACCGCCCAGAATTGCCAAAGAGAGTCATAGTTACTCCCGCCGCCTTGAGGTAATTCTAGCAAAAATAAGTAAATTCTATTCAACAGCAATGCAATGTAACCAATTTAAAATGTAAATAAGGTAATGTACGGCAGTGCGGAAAGGTACATAGCGTGAACTCTAGCGACAAGACAAAGAAGTATTGTAAACGAAACAATGGAATGACGTCTAGCGGTAAAAATAAGGAATTAAGGTAATAACAAATTTACTACAGGAATAACTTACATTTAAGCTAGTGGGTGACCCAGTATGGAATACCCCTCAGGGGACAACAGCTCCGTTTACATTTTCAGAATACCAATATAATGAGTCTTATAGGGAAATGGTTACCGAGTCCTTCTTTTCTGGGTCGTTTGAACGTAATTTTCCCGAAATTGCCATCGGCATTTTTGATCGCTGAGGTGTATTCTATATCCCCGACGAGACCCCCCCCCCTCCCTACTACGTTCTCGGCAGTACGGAGGAAAAGATCTGATAAACCTCCTCCAACAACTCCCAAGAAAGTCTTAACAACTCAACGATGTTACCAAAGGATGGGGGGGGGGGGGTCTGGGTCTCCATTGCCATTTCCAGAAAACCACCATAAGGGGGTACTGATGTTTATAGGAAAAGGGTTATCAAGTCCTTGTTCCATCGCGATCGACATTTTCGTTTGCTGGGGAGTTTTTGTGGCACGTTGCGCCGTCCTGCTGGAACCACAGGTTAGCCAAGTCCTCTTCTTCGATTTTGGGGAACAGTCAATCCGTTCACTTGCGTAACGGCCAATCCAGCAATACGGGCCGAAACAGTTACACGTGTGCGGGTTTTCGTAGCTCCATATACGTTGCCTATTGACATTGCCCCTCAGAAGTTGATTTTTCGACAAAGAAGTGGGCACAGTTTTACGCACTTTCTTCACCTTCGAACTGTATGTTCAGAACCACGGCAGCTCTTTTGCTACAAGTGTGGCGCTACGGGAGTTACTGTACGTTTGTGTGGATTCTGTTCGGGAAACGATTCCGGAGAGACTTCATAAGTCGTCTGGAGCTCCTCGATAGTCTATTTACCAAGATGACGTCGCTTCATCATGCCTCGGCTAAACCAAAATTAGATTTAGGTATGTGCGTCAAGATTTGGAGTCAACATTTTTGATTTGCCTTTTTCCGTACTATTGGATTTGGGAGCGTCAAGATCCGTTATTAACATTTACGTTTATCGTCTATTAATCAACCTACGCCATGTCTTATTGCTAATAGTAGCACCATTACATCTTTAGGGTGTGACGACGCCCATTACTCTGAAAAACCGACAGTCGGAAGAGTTATGGTCGAATTTTGAGCACTTAAAGCACGATCCGGATATGGTCTTGTATACGGCAGGCATTCTATGCAATAGGTGGATTGGATATTTTTCTGAAAAAGAAGCCGCCTTTGTGGCCAATTATTAATAGTTTTGGTTAAGGGTGAATATGTAAAGATTCCTGTAACAGGCTTTTGCGAGCCACTAAAAGATCTCTGGAATTTTTGGGAATTGAATGGATGAGGAAGTGAAATCATCCACTGTTCAAATCTTGAGGGAAACGGCTGGAGCTGAAGTTCATTTCATGACTATTTGCAGCATGCAAGAAACAAATTAAACTGAATTACAAATATGAGATAAATTCAACGTCTGGAGGTTATCTTCTATGTCAAGAACAAATAATCGTTGGTGTAAGTTTTTGGATGCAAGATGTGAATTATCAGGTTGGTAATGCTAACAATATTAGGCCTCAAGTGCATCCTTGAGGCACGCCACCGTTGGCAAAAGATCTGCTCAACCAACTAATACAGCGCCATTATTCAGTACTAAAAGACTCTATCTAATCATTTGGAAAGGGCAACGCCAGATGATCTTTACGATATGTTTCGTGTAGTCGTAATCGACTGCTGCCGAAATGTGGTCAATAATAATAATCCTTCTAATTATCGTGTTGGTCCTGCTGGCCTATTTGGACACGAGGAAACCGAGGCATTTTCCGCCAGGTCCGGTCTGGTTGCCGATTTTGGGATGTGCTTGGGAATTGCGGAGGCTGCACAAGGAGAAGGGCTCGTTACCTGAGGCGACGCAAGCGTTGGCGACAAAGTATGGTCCGGTGGTTGGGGCGCGAGTAGGCCGCGAACGTGTCGTTTTCGTCTACGGATGGAAGGCGATCGACGAGCTGCTTTCCAGAGATGAGCTCAACGGTAGACCGGACAACGTCGCCACTACGAGTCGAACTGGTGGCAAACGGAGAGGGGTCCTCTTTACGGACTCCGAATGTTTACAAGAGCAAAAGAGGTTCGTATTTCGACACTTTAACGAGGCTACTTTTCGAAAAGTGGTCATGCGAGAGATGATTAAGGAAAAGGTGGGATCTATCATTGATGATGTCACGAGGGCGATCGAAAAGGACCCCGTGGTCGACATGTACTGTTTCTTTCGGATTCATGTGTTGAGCGCGTTTTGTTTACTAATAACAGGCCAGACAGGCAACCAACAGGAATTGAGCGAATTGGAGGCCATCGTTGCGGATTTTGCTCGGAATGTTCCCTTGGCCGGTCCGGTATTCGGCATGTTTCCGTTTTTGAGGCACATTTGCCCCGAATATTGTGGATATAACGTGTATGTAGGGATTCATGAAAAAATATTGACGTTCTTCCACAAAAAGGTAGAGCTTCTCAGGGATGCTGCCCCTAACCGAGGTTTTATTCACGCATACCTAGACAAACTAAATTCTGCCCAAAGCGGTGGCAGCTTCTCTCAAGAGCAACTGCTGGCCATTTGCTTAGACCTTGTGACTGCCGGCTACGATTCCATTTGCAGTACCCTAAAATTTACCTTCTTGTATCTCATACTGAATCCAGATATTCAAAAAAAAGCGCAAGAGGAAATCGATACCGTTCTTCAGGGGAGGCCGCCTACTATAGAGGAGAAACCGCAGTAAGTATTCCAAACTGCCATAATATCTTACTCAGCAGATTGTAGCCTACCGTATGTTGAGGGTATAGTTTTGGAATCCTTGCGGATGTTCACGGGCAGATCCCACTTTGTGCCTCGCAGGGCGACCAAGGATACACAATTTAACGGCTACTTCATTAGAAAGGTACGCATCAATCTGGCTTGACTATTTCACCGACCTGTTACTAGAATACCACCTTACTTTTGAACCATCGAGGTACGCTCATGGATGAAGCTGCCGGTTGGCAAAACCCGGACGATTTCGATCCCGGTCGCTTCCTGCGGGACGGTCGCGCGAAGATTCCGAACAATTTCAGTCCGTTCGGTTTGGGCAAGAGGAGATGCGTGGGGGAGGTCTTTGCTCGCGAAAGCATTTTCCTCGTAGTCGCCGGGCTTCTTCAAGCGTTTAAGTTCGAGACCGTGCCTGGAAATCCTACAACGGTAGAAACTGTCGAGAACTTTGCTCCGTCATGCCAAACTTACAAGACATATGTTACATTGAGATAAAACTCTCCTGATGCATCGATTATAAAACCGAAACCAATAAATAGAATAGTAGTTCGTTTTGTTGGTAGAGTTTTTGCTTCGTAGTTCTTTATTTTTCCGCTAGAGGTCATTATAATATTCTCTTCGGCGTTTTTCTCTTTCTGCTGTAGTGGTCGGCTTGCTACATTAACACTTGTTGTTCATGCACATTAAGTACTTGTTGATAGTCACATAAATTGTTGTATCACCATGGGCCAACATTAGCTCACGAAGTGATCGACGAAGTCAAAACTGACATTTGAATTCTAGTCGCGGCCTTTTGAGCTCAGAGGGATGCCGTCGCCAAAATCTACAATCTAAACACAAAAAAGGGCGAGACAACGTAAGGTTTGGTACAACCGAGGAACTCTAATATTGAAATCGTTTCGCGATTCAGATTAACAGCACATCGTGGAATAAGATCGCCATTTTGTTTATTTACAGTGACCAAAGTAATTATGCCACGAATAGTAAGTGCGTGTTCAAGCATAAGCGACGTAAGGGAATGTCGGCGAGTTGTTGTAAAGTTGTATGCGTGCGCTAGAAATTGAATGATAAATTGTGACCTTTATTTGTAATTAGAAAATTAAGTTGATTGCGTGTTAAAGCTAATTCGAGACAGCCTCGAGTTCTTAAAGGCCTTTCAGGTAGTTTAAAATTAGTACAATTTACTTGCAAGAATAACCCAATGTATACGCGCCATTTCTAAATTACACCAGCGCCTTTAGTGCTATCTAAATCGCGAGTTAACACTTAACGAAAAAGCAATGATTTAAATTATGTTAGAAAGCAAAATTTTGGTTGAACTTCAAGAAACAAAAATTAAATGTCTTCGTATAAAAAAAACTAATCTGAAGGTTTGAAAGATAAGTACACTAACATGAAGGAATTCTTCGTAACAACAAAAAGTAACGTAAAAATCGAAGATATCGTCGTAACGGAAACAATTGAACGGTTAACAATTATCTTCAAAAAGGTAATCGATAATACTTGCAGTGAACAGGGATAGTCAATTAGTCTTCGATGCATAATTTTCAGGTAACTTAATGTAGCAATTTATCCTAGTTTGACTCAAAAATCAAAATAGAGGGTCCATGTAATCGAAATTCGATGTAGAGCGAAATTCTCAGGTACAAAAACAAAGAAACAGGAAGAACTAAAAGAGAAGAACCAAAAGGGAAGAGAAGGAGCTCTCACACAGGCGTAAACTTATAAAATATATCCGCTAAATGCGACTCTGTAGTAAGTAAATCACAAAGAAACACAGTCACATTAAATCCCTTAAAAAGTAATGACGAATGGACAAGTTAAAAATTGGCGTGTATTCGATTTACAAGTGTACTGACCACTTCTCTTCTAAGGGTGAACACGAGAAATGGAATAGAAAGGAAAACATGTTACATTGAAAAAGTACGGGACAGTGGCGACAATAGCAGACACCATTTTGGATTGAAGAATCAAATTAGAAATCATCAAATACCAATAAAATTGTACTGTAAGCAACGCACAATACCATATACAAGTAGCATAAACTCGTTGCAACATGCCCGCCTATCTCAACAAGCAATCAAAAATAAGACAAAAATATTGTGCGTGACCTCTAGTGACAAAATAAAGAACTACAGCAACAAAACCAACTTATATAAACTTACAGAGGAAATATACAGATGGCGTAAAGGGTATTAAAGCTGAATTAAAAAAAGTTACTGGTTGTGTTTGTATATAGAGTCTGGACATATTCACCCTTAACCAACATGATTAATAATGAGCTATAAAAGGTGCCATTCCTTTGAAGGACAATCCTTACGGGTTATAGAAGTAGTTCCATGCGATTTTAGAACGGAAAGGGCATCCGAATGAGGATTATTCCCTCTGAATCGATAAGGAAGCGACTTGTGACCCCTATTTTCGAGTACGATGGTTCTTTACCATTTTTGTCCATTACTATTTATTGAGAGGTCTAATCGAAAAAGTACGAATTGTTTTGGATTCTACGTACCAAAATTAATAAGAAAAAGTGTTTTCCCGAGAAATTTTGGTGCAGTCGATTTTTGGTAAAAAACGAAGGTTACACTGCCTTTTTTTGAGGCCCGCAAAAAATTGTCTCAGATCGACCCGGAAAAAAATTTTCTTATAGAATGTGGCCTGTAGAATCCATAATTTCAAACAGTTCCAAGATTGGGCTACTAGTTCAAAAGTTACAGCCCTTTGAAATTTTTTTCGAAATTGGTTTCTAGTCTATAACTTTTGATTGAGAAGTCTGATCGAAAAAGTACGAATTGATTTGGATTCTACGCACCAAAATTAATAAAAAAAAGTGTTTTCCCGAGAAATTTTGGTGCAGTCGATTTTTGGTAAAAAAGGAAGGTTATACACTGCCTTTTTTTGAGCCCCGAAAAAAAAATTGTCTCAGATCGACCCGGAAAAAAATTTTCTTATAGAATGTGGCCTGTAGAATCCATAATTTCAAACAGTTCCAAGATTGGGCTACTAGTTCAAAAGTTACAGCCCTTTGAATTTTCTTTCGAAATTGGTTTCTAGTCTTAACTTTTGATTGAGAAGTCTGATCGAAAAAGTACGAATTGTTTTGGATTCTACGCACCAAAATTAATAAGAAAAAGTGTTTTCCCGAGAAATTTTGGTGTAGTCGATTTTTGGTAAAAAAGGAAGGTTATACACTGCCTTTTTTTGAGGCCCGAAAAAAAAATTGTCTCAGATCGACCCGGAAAAAAATTTTCTTATAGAATGTGGCCTGTAGAATCGATAACTTCAAACAGTTCCAAGATTGGGCTACTAGTTCAAAAGTTACAGCCCTTTGAATTTTCTTTCGAAATTGGTTTCTAGTCTATAACTTTAGATTGAGAAATCTGATCGAAAAAGTACGAATTGTTTTGGATTCTACGCACCAAAATTAATAAGAAAAAGTGTTTTCCCGAGAAATTTTGGTGCAGTCGTTTTTTGGTAAAAAGGGAAGGTTTATACACACTGCCTTTTTTTGAGCCCCGAAAAAAAAATTGTCTCAGATCGACCCGGAAAAAAAATTTTCTTATAGAATGTCGCCTGCAGAATCCATAATTTCAAACAGTTCCAAGATTGGGCTACTAGTTCAAAAATTACAGCCCTTTGAATTTTTTTTCAAAATTGGTTTCTAGTCTATAACTTTTGATTGAGAAGTCTGATCGAAAAAGTACGAATTGTTTTGGATTCTACGCACCAAAATAATAAGAAAAAGTGTTTTCCCGAGAAATTTTTTGGTGCAGTCGATTTTTGGCAAAAAAGGAAGGTTATACACTGCCTTTTTTTGAGGCTCGAAAAAAAAATTGTCTCAGATCGACCCGGAAATTGTTCTTATAGAATGTGGCCTGTAGAATCCATAATTTCAAACAGTTCCAAGATTGGGCTACTAGTTCAAAAGTTACAGCCCTTTGAATTTTCTTTCGAATTGGTTTCTAGTCTATAACTTTTGATTGAGAAGTCTGATCGAAAAAGTACGAATTGTTTTGGATTCTACGCACCAAAATTAATAAGAAAAAGTGTTTTCCCGAGAAATTTTGGTGTAGGCGATTTTTGTTAAAAAAGGAAGGTTATACACTGCCTTTTGCATATAAGAACGGAGTTTTAAAACATAGTAAATTTCATCAAAAGAAGCACAAGAAAAGGGCAAGGTTCTTAAAATGCATTCGACATTGCCTTTTTGGATTTCTAAACTGATTCGCTGGTAAATAAACTGGGTTGAGCGGGACTCTCCAGTTTTTTGCCGGAGTCTTTTACCAATTGCCGCTGTCATGATTTTGGCTTCATTTCCCCAGGGACCCATGGTTTCTACAGCGCATCCATTGAAAATAAATGTAGGCTTCTTTGTTGCATTAAAGAATATTGGCGCGCTAGCAGAATTAGTCATCTACCGGATACGTCTGTTTAATTTCTTACCTTTCCTATTTGAATCTTTAGGTTCAAGGCATCGATTCGTTTGTCTAATGCAAACTTATGGAAACTCGAGACGACTCCAAACATAGGTAGTCAAAATTATCAAATGTAATATAGTGCTATACTTACTATGACAAAAAATCGAACTGTAAATTAGCTATGTCAAATTTGTTTAAGAAATTTCGCGCTCTAGAGCTGAAAGGTGCCATTTCCATACATTTACATCATCCCTTATAAAAAATGCTGTATTTTACATAATACGATTTGATCCCCTTTATATAGCTATACAACTTGACAGGCGAGTGTAGCAACATACATATATTTTAATACCCTGATGTTTACAAAGAGGCGCGGTTTTTACATCCCCTGACGCAAGCAAAAATATGGGCAATAAACAAAAATCGGTCCATAACTCTTCTGCGTGTGTGCATCTCGAGCCTTTCGAAGTAAATACGGCAAAAATGGATGCAGGCGAACTGAAGCAAACAGAAAGCGATGTATACGTGAATTAGGGACGCGAATACATAAATATTTTCGCCGAGGGAGCGATCCTTATTTACATATTAATTTTATAAGCGCCTGCATTATTTATGCAAGCCTTCGGCGCCGAAAGTCGTAATGGAGGAAAATGGATTGATGTTAGAATGGGAGTTTGCTAACAGATTCTCAATTTGTTTACACGCCTCTGACGTTTACGAAATGGTTATGTATATATTTTATGAAGTTAACGTCTCATCGAACTATCTAAATTGTAGATGTTATCGAAAGGAAATAAAGGAAAATAAAAATGAAATAAATAAGTTATTATTTTTAGATTTGATGCATCCTCAACGACTCAATTCATAAAAGTCTTAAAAGAAGCCTAGAACAGGTATGTTTAATTCATCTCCCGACATTTCTGCCGGTTTTAATCCTTGATAAGCTCAAGTTCACTAAATAAGTTACAATACAGCTTAATCACATCCGATACTTGATAAACAATGCGACGAAGCTCGTGAAAAATCTGTCAATTTTATATATAAGGGGCCGAGTAGGGTGGAAGGGGGAGAAATGAATTAATCGGTATTGAGTCGTCGTAGAGATCACGTGAAAATAACAGTGATTTTTTAGA